TGTACGTAGTCATAATGTAAGTTTAACATTTTGAGAACCCAGCCAAGTAAAAAAGTGCTGCATCACTGGGAGCCACATTAGCTGCGTTTCCATTGACCATGAAAATGCACAAATTAGAATTTCAACAATAAATTTGCTCAATGGAAACACATCAATTTCGAGAAAAAAAAACAACGTTTTTTGACAAAATGTTTTTGCGCTAGGATGAGGTGGTATTTCGGCCGGATCAAAATTGGTGTTTTTCGCAAAACTGCAATGGAAACACTTTTTTTGCATCACGGGAGTCACGTGATCAAGAACCGGCTGTTTCTACTGGCGAAAAAGATGACGACGAAGAAGATAACATGAAGTAGAAATATTAGTAATATCACAGAAGTAGTATAAAATAATAAACTCACCGACTACAATTTCCCAAAAACACAGCATACGTAGCCGCTCCCAAGTAGGGACTTGTTGCTGGAAAGCCTCGATAAAAGATGCCGACGTCTCCTCTGATGATGAGCGCTAGTGTCGTGGTAGCAACATGCTATGTGTTTACATCCATGGCTGCCATGTTTGTAATGACTTATCGTGAGAACAAACATATTCACGCGTGACTTTAATAGCATTTCTTACTTAATGGAAACACCGCAGTTGTGAAACTGTGTTTTTTCGACAGAATATCGACAAAGTTTTGTGCACATTTGCATTGGAAACACAGCTACTGTCTCCTGGGGGCCATTTTGACTTAGTTAATGAGATCAAAGGGACACAAATTGAATTGATCTACATCTGTCAAACACAACATCACATAATCTGCAATAAATAGAACTGTTTTTAGTACGATGTTTGTTGCATGTCGTAAAACTTTTTAAAATTTATTTGAATAAATGTTCAGGCAGGCATGTTAAGTGAATTTCAGAGCTTTTTGAATGTAGTTTTATTTATTTAAATATCATTGTTAAATAGTTTCCTGGCTTGTTAAACCTTTCCTGTTAACTGACTCTTGTAAGAGTCAACTCTTGCATATAAAAACATACAATCATTTGTTTTATTTATTTTGACATGTCATCTTTTAACTGTTTTTGTCAGCACAACTTTGACCATGAAAACTTGTGTATTTTTGCCTGCTTTAGTTATCACGCAATCTCTTTTGTAAACTAGTAAAAAGATAGAAAAAGATCTTATTTTGAGTTTCCTTGAAAACATCACTACAAACCTGGTTTTCATTCATTTATTGGTGTTAAAAAGCAGACTGAGATATYTCCAAGGCCACTTCCTGCCTTGAAAGACAGAGCATTTGCTATTTGTTGCACTAAATGTACAACTTTACATCAAAAAGCAACTTAAAGCATTTTCATCTCTTTYTGGTGCTTAGTTGAAACAGTTAATTAATTTCATGTTGTTTTGAAGAAAACTTGAACTGATGATTGAGATTCTGTTTTGTGCACTATGTGCAACTTTTACATACAGTATGTGGTGTAAACCTTTATACTTGGACATCAAAAAGGACCTAAATGAACAGGAACCTGTAAGTTTGGGTTTTGAAAAGTTTGGAGTTTTGAAAGTGGAAATCTGTTCTCCCAACTCATAATAAATGACAAGAAATGTGTAGAGAACCAAATTTACTTTGTATTTCATAGTTAAAGTAATAACTGTGTTTATTTTTTCTCTTCTAACGTTGCACCTCATCATGTTCTTGAACTTTGCAACTAACCAGCTGCTTATATGTTTTATTTGATTTGTTTATTTTTGTGAAACTCCGGTTCACGACAACCAGRCTTTATTGTCTCCCTGGATGGAACGACACAAGAAAACAAGATGAGGTTCATCCAGAACTTTAAGTGGACCGACACCTTACAAGGAAACATACCAAGGTAAGTGAAGTTTACAGCACACTTCAGTTTCTAAGAAAAGCCACAACATTATAGAAATGGTTTTAAAAATGTCTTGAGTGGAAAAAGTAAATTAGTTTCAAATGTGTTCTGATTATTTCTTGCGTCAAACACTGCATGTATGAAGAAGTGATTGTAGATGCTGATCTTTAGATGGTTTCATTGTTAAAGTTAGACTTGTGCTGGCAATAGCTAAGGTTGGGTTTATGCTTAGGGTTATGATAAAACTGTATCTGTCCTTGCTCTCCTCAGTTCCCAGCAGGATGCGGTTTTTGAACTGGCTTCTATGGCTTTCAATGTTGCCATCTGGTACACCAAGTTTGCCTCAAGACTAGCTGGGAMGGAAAAGTAAGCTGTTTTCTTTCATGGATGCACTATTCTTAATAAAATCTGCCTGTTTGTATCAAAGTCGTCATGTTGAGCTGGAATAGGTGGCAGCAGCTGTTCTATAGAGTCGTCCTAATTCTTCTGGTTTTCCTGCGTTAGTGCCAAGGTTTTGAGGTGGTAGTGAGTTTAAACATCTAAATCTACAGTATATTCTGAAGCACAAAAAAACTTTTATATTTAATATATTCATTTTAAAGCTTCATACTTTTTGATTTTCAGTGGTAATTCTGACAGCTGTGTTACTTTCTTGAACAGCATAACAGAGCCTGAAGCCAAAGACGTTCACAGGAGTTTGAAAGTTGCCGCTGGAATCTTCAAAACTCTGAAGGTGAGGCACATAAAATAAATCAAGTTTAGAAAACTGGGCCCGTATTTATCAAACTTCTTAGAATTACTCGTAAGAATGCTGCTAAGAGTCGACTTAAGTGTAAAACATTCTTATTTAGAAGCTGAGAGTAAAAGTCAGTTATCAAGCGTCTCAGTCTCACTTTAAGTGAAGTGTAGGAGTAATTCTTCAGTGTCGGTCTTACAGCTGATTTACGACACCTGCTGTGCTGCAGAGCTGATCCTGGATGATGTCGTTAGAAAAACCCCCGACATGAACCAATCACTGCCTCGTATTTCATGTTCGAGAATATTGTCGGAGAAATGTCAAGATAAGACTGTGAAAATGCTAAAATAATTTCACTTTCAACACACTAATGTTGTCACCTTGTCCTGATTGTCTGTAGAATTACATAAAATGTCCTCATTTGCATCATGAGAACAGATGAAAATCTCACAATTTGTTTTAAATCAAAAACTCAGCAGCTTTAAGTTGTTTTATGTCTCAGAGCCTGAGGTCATGTTGAGCTGCTCCCTTCTCTTCGCCACTGTCTGCAGACAACACCAGGTCTCACACACACACACACACACACACACACACACACACACACACACACACACACACACA